CCTCAGGGCCCGGCAGCCTCAAGTTCAAATGCTGGTGTAGGTTCCTGCCGACTGTGTGGCCCTGAGCAGGCTGTGTGACCCTGCAAGCCTCAGAGGCCTCCTTTCTAAAATGGCACAGTTAGGAAGCTTGGAATGCGATGTCACCAGCAAAGCTCGGCATCCAGCAGGTGACCTTGATGACCACCTCTTCCCACCAACAGCCAATGTTTAGGAGAAGATTCTAGTGGCGGCGAATTATGTGACCAGAGGGGCACTAGGGCCCCAAATCTCAGAGCCTTCCTTGTCTGGCCTCTCTCACAACCACACCCAATCCAACAGAAGATCCAGAATCCAACCCATCTCGCCCCTTCACCGGTTCTTCCAAGAACTATACTTGGCCTAGATGCCTGGTGCATGAAATTCATGCACAGGTAGGGTCCCTAGGCCTGGCTAACGATCAGGGCTGATCTGTGGGGCGACTGGCGGGGCAATCGGGGGCCCCCTACTGGCACCTGCCTTGGCCGCCCTGCCCCCTGCTGTCACCACTGGTCGCCTCCCTCTGTGGGGCAACTGTCAGGGTGATGGGGGGGCCCCACTCACCCGCCTTGGCTGGCCTGGGGCCTGCGGGCTGGGGGCAGCTCCTGTATTGAGCATCTGCCCCCTGGTGGCCAGTGTGCATCATAGCAACCAGTCGTTCTGCTGGTTGATCGATTTGCATATTAGGCTTCTATTATATAGGATTATTCTAAGCACCTACTAACTGGTCTTCCTGCTTCTGCCTGCCTCCTACAGACAACTTCTGAAAGCCAGAAGAATGCTTTCAGAACAGGAGTGAAATCATGTCCCTCCCTGAGCCCTTGCTCTGCACCCTCAACCTCCAATTCTGCCCCCCAAATGTCCAAAGACACACTGCCTGCCACTCACAGGGGACTTGAACTAAGGCTGGCCCTACACCAAGTCACTTAAGCCCCTGGGCCTCATTTCCACACTTATAAAGAGGAAAATAGATTAAAGGTTCTTGTGAGGGTTAAACCGGAGAGTATGTCTTGGCCAAGCATGTCAAACATGTGGACCGCCAGCCGCGAGTTTGACATGCTTGGTCTTGGCCCTTAAAACAAGGATGCAAAGTCCGTGCTCCTGGGATTTAGCTACTGCGGAATCTATTACCATCAATTGTTCTGTGTGCCTTCCTTACCGCCTTCCCTCCCTCCAAATCCCTTTAGGAGCCCACGGTGGTTACTCTGCAGAGAGGCAGGTTGTCAGCCAGGGCTATCTTGGCCTCTACACTGGCTCTGACTTGCCCAGAGCTTCCTGCCAAGATGCTCAAACTCAGGGCCTCAGTTTCCTCATCTATAAAATGGGGATAAGAGTATCACCCTGAAGGGGTGCTGGAAGGACGAAAGCTACAATATATGCGCAGCCCCAGCATTTAGCAGGGCCTCAGATAGTATTTTCTGAGGGGCCTCAGATAATATTAATCAATACCTTGAGTGTCAACTCTATTGCCAAGCACTAAGCTGTAGACTAGTAAGCAAATGAGGGGGGAGTGGAGAGAGGTTACTGGGGAGGGACCCTGAGTTTAACCTGGGGTGAGGCCAGGAGCTTAGAGGGCTCAGAGAAAGCTTTGGGGTAGAGGGCATCTGAATCTAATTTTAAAAAAAATGAAGAAGGAGGGAACAGTGTTTTAGGCAGAGGAACAGGCTTAAGCGAAGGCCCTGCAGCAGGACTAAGAGGGTGCGCCAAGAACTCTGCCTGAAGTGAGCCCCCCGCCTCTTCACCCTCTAATCCAGGTCAAAGGGAGAAAACAAGGTGCCCATGGCCACTCTCACCCAATAACTGTTCATTGGCCCCCCCAGGTGCCAGCACCTGCTATACCTGGTTCCTCTCATTTATCTCAATGAAAAATACAGGAAGTGAAAACAAGCCCTAAGGGGTGAAATGATGTGATCAAGGTCATGTAGACAAGGTCATGCCCCAGGATTAGAACCCTGGTCTGGATCCCACACCTCTGCTCCTTCAGCACCTGCCTTCTGCAATTCAGAATCCCACGGCAGAATTTGGCCAGACAGAAACTAATGTGGCAGCCCTTGTCCCTCTCTAGGGAGAGGTTAAAGGCCTTGTCTAAGGTCACAGAGCTGGGAAGTGGCAGAAGCCAGGGTTTGCACCTGGTCCCAGCTCCGCAGCTCTTTACCATGCTGACGCTGGAGTTCCCCACTCCCAGGTCTCAAGTCCAACGTGCAGGAGGGCATCCAGGGGAAACACACGCCCTGTCACACCTCCACCTCTGATTAAACCTGCCAGCCGGAGGCACTGGGGCTCTCCATTCTGACTCTGGCTCTGGGAGGGCCTTGGATTTAACCATCCCAGGATTCTGGTTACTTCCAGCTCAAAAAGCCCAGTGGATTGGCTCCACCATAAACAAGTCTTTTGTGCTGCCTCTGGCCAAGAACTGGAAGGACATCCTCATGGCCACAAGATCCTTGGAATCAACCACCAAAATGCAGCCAGCTTCCGACCCAGAGCTGGACAGTCAGCATCTAAGAAAAGGAGGTCTCCAAGGCCTTGACCAGGGGGAGGCGCACCTACCCATCACAGGCAACTTCCACTTTGCTTCTGCTTTCAAAAAAGAAAGAAAAAGAAAAAAGGAAGAAAGGAAGAAAGGAAGAAAGAAAGAAAGAAAGGGCCTTGAAATCCCTTTTTTGTTCCTGTTTCTCATCTTCCCTGGGTAACTCTGTAAAATGACTTATGGTATAAATACAAACATGGCTGAGGTTCAACAAGAGGTTTCACCATTTCTACTTTTCATGTCCTTCTCTTCAAAATAAACTCCTGGGATTCAAGGAGCCAGCACCAGGAAGCAGGGGACTTCTCTTCTCTTCTGCACATGCTAGGCCAGTACAGGATGTTATACAAAATCCCAGGAAACAATTCTCTGTTGAAAATCAGCAGTCGCATCCCTGAGAGGTTACCATCCCTCCTACCGCTTCAGGGAAATTGTTGCTGCCCTCACACCCACCCTGCAGCATCAGGACTTACGTTGTCATCGCCTCTCGGCCTTTTGGCTAAGATCAAGTGTAGGACTTAACGTTGTCCCTGTAGACACAGGCAGTATCAGCCGCTGCAGGTAGGGGGGCAGATTGGCTCAACTTGATTATTTTAGGACAACCTGTGAGCATCTAGTAAAATATGCATATGTTTTGGTCCAATAATCATATATGTGCAGAAAGAAACACGAACAAGGATGTTCACGGAGGCATCACTTGTAACAGAAAAAGAGAAAGAAAAACAACCCAGGAAACAACGTAACTGCCCATCAATTTGCGGGAGGAGGGAAGGGACCTTAGGTAAGAGTCCTGTCAATCAATAATGAAACACACGCCTTAAAGAACACACCATAACTATTGGAGAGAATGAGAGTGATTTATAAGCAGTTTGATCTGGAAGGTCATGAGAGAGATGAAAAAGAGTTGCAAACCAGTAAGTATACGATAACTACATTTCTAAAAGGCTGTTTGCTTATAAGTCCAGGGAGAGCAGTTACTATGGGGGGAGTGGAAGAGGGGAGAAAGGATGACAACATTTTATTAATTTAAGTGGTGACATGGTGGATGAGTTTTAGTTCTTTCTGTTTTACTGTTTTCTAAACTAAGAACTGTTTTCCAGTTTTCTCACTGGCCACTTTCCACTGACTCCACCCAGCAAAGGGGCTCTGCATGGGGGACCCCCCCTCTCTGCCTCTTCCAGAGAAGCCTCAGATGCTCAAGGTGTGGGGGAGACAGCAGCACCATCAGGCAATTTCAGCATCAATGAAGCCTCAGCGGTTATCTCCCTCAGCCAACACACAGGTGGCGCACACACCTTTGTAACAGGGTAAGTGCCTGGGGCTGGCACAGACCCCTACCTTAGGAAGCCCTTCCTGAACTGCAGCTAAGGTCCACGGCCTGAGCCCCACGCAGGCACCTTAACCAGAGGGCGAGGAACTAGCCAGGTAAGCTTTCAACAGCTGAGCCCCACTTCTCAACACAGCCCTGGGGTGTAGCCCCGAGTCCAGGGCAAGAAACTCAACTTGCCCAGGACCACACAGCTGGAACTGAAATTCAAATTAAGTTGACTGAAGAGGCCACCTGTTTCCCTTGAGCCACGTCAGCCCCCTCACCCCCACCATACTCTCTCAGCCTCATTCAAGAACGGGTGCCAAAAGTCCCTCCCCAGACTCCCCCGAAATCCAAGCGCCAACCTCCTCCCACACCGTCCAAACGGGACCCATCTTTCCCCCAAGTTCTTCCGCTATGGGAGTAATGACCTCTTTGGGATTCCAAAACATAGCCAGGAAAACGCACAGACGTACACACATAATGATGCATACGATTGTGGGGTGCAAGAGGGAACCGTGAATGCCCCTCCAGCCCCCCAAGGCGATCCTTGTCTCTCTCTCCTGGGGAAGGGCTGCGCCTTCGCGCTATCGCGCCGCCACCCCCCTTCCCTCCCTCCCTCCCTCAACCACCTGTGCAATACGGGGAAGTGCCGGCCCGCCTGGCCGCGCC